AGACCTGTCATGTAAAGGTACAAGATCCCAATAATGAATATAACTGTACTGTATACCAAGAATGTACCAATAAACTCAATGAGAAAAAAATTAAAGTTAGTTTTTTTTGTTTTCAAAGTACATTTAAAATACTTTTATTTTAATGTAATACAAGTAGGCATTAATAAAAATATATAAACAGCTCTGTGGAAAATAATTTTTCATAACAAAAATAGAGTACAACAATGAATATATTGTTTATTGTAATCTTAAAAGAATATATTTTATTGCTATTTATCTCTCAACTCATTTTCTAATAATACTACATATTTTTTGTATGAAACATTTTAATTATTAAAAAAATATTATCTGGGGATTTAGCTCAGTAGTTCTGCCACCTTCCTTGCAAGTAAGTGCAAGGTCCCAAATTCGATCCCTGGTTAAAAAAAAAATGTATCTCACACTTGGTATAATTTTGAACAATTTCTTCCTACATCAAAATATCTATTAGGCCGGGTGTGGTGGTGCACACCTGTAATCCCAGCACTCAGGAGGCTGAGTCAGGAGGATCGCTGTGAGTTTGAGACCAGCTGAGCTACATAGTGAGTTCCAGGTCAGTCTCACTACATAGTGAGACCCTGTCTCAAAAACAACAACAACAAAAAAAATCTATTATATATTTTGGTCTTTATCCTTTCAGTTTCTCACACTAGAGACACAATGTGATATTTACATGTGTGTCTGATTTATTTCACTTCACAGTATGGCCTCTAGGTGCATCCATTTATGTAGAAATGACTCAAATTTATCCATATTTATGGCTGAATAGCATTACATTTTTTTAAAAAATCTTTTTTTAATCCATTTATCAGTTACTGGGAATTTGGGTTGTTTCCAGGATTTAGCTATTACAAACTGTGCCACTGTAAACATGAGTGCTCATATGTTGCTATGTTATGATGCTTTTAATTATTTTGGGAAGACAGCCAGAAGGGATATATGTGGGTAAAATGGGAATTCTAATCCTAGTTTTTGAGGAATCTCCACACTGATTTCCACAGAGGTTGCACCAGTCTATATTCTCACCAACAGTGGTGAAGGGTTCCTTTTTCCCCACAGCCTCTTTGACATTTTTTGTTGGTTGATTTCTCAACAACAGCCATTCTTTCTGGAGTGAGATGGAATCTCAGTATTGTTTTAATTTGTATCTCTTGAATGATGAGTGATATTGAATATTTTTTCATATATTTATTTGCCATTTCTACTTCTTCATCTGAGAAATGTCTGTTCATTTAAGATGCCCATTTTTGGACTGGGTCTTTGAATTGGGGGGTCTGATTTTTTTAAAATTCTTTATATGTTTTAAATATTAGTAATTTGTCTAAAGGGCCACTGGCTAAACTTTTTCCTCACTCCATGGTCTGTGTTCCTACTCTGTTGGTGGATTCTTTTGCTGTGCAAAAGATTTTTTTTAATAAGATGAAATCCCAGTTTGATTATTTGTAGTATTTCCTGGGTTTTGTTCATGAAGTTTTGCCTACACCTATGTTCTTAAGTATTCTAGCATTATCTCTTCCAGTAGATTTAGTGTTTCTGTTTTAATATTTAGATTTTTGGTCTATTTTGATTTTAGTTTAGTGCATGGTGAATGATGGACTTAGTTTTAATCTTTGGCATGTAGAAAGCCAGTTTTTCTAGTACCATTTATTAAAGGGACTGTCTTCCCTTTGTCTAAAATAAGATGGCTGAGTGTGCTTAGGGTTGTTTCTGCATCTTCTAATCTGCTCCACTGATCCTAAGGTCTGTTTTTGTTTTTTTTTTCCAGTACCATGCTGTTTTTATCACCACAGTTCTGTAGATCGGTTTTTAATTTTAGTTAAGACTTTTTTTAGTTAATAACTGTATATATTTATATTTTAGAGTGTAACATTTTAGTATATGTATATAATATATAAGATCAAATCAAGGTAATTGTCATATCTATCACCTCAGACATATATCATCTGCTTGTGTTGAGGGCATTCAAAGTTCCCTGTACTAGTTATTTTAAAATATTCAATTGTCAGCTGTAGTTATCTTAATGTGCTATAAAACATTACTGAGTTCTTTATATATGCTGAATATTAAGCCTTTATCAGCTATATGGTTTACAAATATTCTCTTATGGTTTGTAGGCTGCTGTTATTTTCATTTTGCTGTGTAGAAGATTTTTGGATTTTTTTTTCTTTTTTTAACAAAAAACATTGGCGTAAGTTGTTTTGATACTGTCAAGGGAGAAATAAACTTTCCTGAAGTTAATTATACTATAATTCAGAAAAGTCACATTTTTCAAGGGAGTAAATCCTAAAAATAATATCCCAATTCTAGAAAAGCCTATAATGGGGTATCAAGAGATGTAATAGCTTTTCTTGTAAGAACACATGGTGTGAATAATGAGAGTAATAAACAAGAAAGATAGTATTACATACACATATCCAGGGGACATACATAGGGTTTGTCAAAGCCCAGACTTAGCCTGCCAAAAATTAAAGGAAACAACTGTGCTGAAAATGTACGGAATAGTTGATAAAAGGAGCTCCCTGATTTTAAGTGATAATTGAATGGCCAAAATTTACCCTCCTATTGAAAAGATAGTAGTTGTATATAGGTAGATGAATGCTAATGGGTTTATATGAAATATCAGGAATCCTCCATTTAAATTGACTTCCTCTTTAATATTTTCCCTAATGTCTGAAATGTTATATTTAGAAATAACATATGCCTTTATAAAGAATTATATGCAAAAAGGATACAATTACCTCTTGGGAAGGTAGTTTGCCATCTTTTTTCATTAACAGCCTAATTTAGTTAATACAATTTTCTAACAAAGAACATGTATTGAATATGAGATGCTAAGGATTTCAGAGCATTGCCTGTGAAAGTCTAGGATCTAAAAGTTGGGAAAAGGAGGGAAGGAAGGAGGAGAAAGAGAGGTTTAATCAGGGAATCACTGAGATCATAGGCTATTATTAAGCGGGAAGATTAGCAAAAATATCTTGACAGATAAGGAAACTGACAAAAAGGGGAAGGAAGACTTATTATTTTACATTTAAAGAGAAAATGTTATCCTAGGGTGTATATTGATAATACCAGAACCAGAGTTTGTGAAAAATTTGTAATCTGAATGTTACTTCACATGCTAATAAACAAAAACTATGCCTACAAAAGACATCAGAAAAAGTTAATAAAATTTAGAAATTTTGAGAATAGATTTTATGAAATTATAATGGCATTCTTTTTATTTTTTATAGAACGGGTTCTTTCTCTAGGTCCTGCTAACTAAATTTGAACAATGGCATTAACTACTTGTGCAAAATTTCTGTGAAATTTATGAAATATAATAGGTTGCAAGTTCATTAGTGTTTGACAAGTACTTCAGGCATTTTAAATCATACCTGAAAACAATAAGCTTTCTATAGGAATCACTTCCATCAGATATACTGAAAATTAAAAATATAATTTTAATTGTCTTTAAGTCCATTTGAGTAAATATTTTCTACCTCATTAACTGAAAAGATGAAAATTGTCTTTAGAAGAGTGATATAAATTACAGAAAAAGGGTAAAAAATTTGCGTGTTCAAAAAGAAGATGGATTAGATTAACAGTTCTTTTTTTTTAATTTTATTGAGTTTATTGGTACATTTTAGGGATACAGTACAGTTACATAACAGTTCTTAACAAGAGGTGATTTTGTTCCCAGAAAATATATGAAAATGTCTGAAGACATTTCTTGTCACAACTTTGACAGCTATTGAAATCCAACAGGTAAAGACCAGAAAGACTTAACCTTCCTACACTAAACAGAATGTCCCATTCCCCAAATGGCAATAGTATAAAAGTTGAGAAATCCAAGTTCTGTATAGCTCAGGACTCTTAAGAAAAAAGTCCACCCTGACTATTTAATCCACTCCAGGTAGCATGATCAGGATATCTCAAAGATGCATGAATTCTTTCATGACTTTAGGCTGTTTCAAAATGTGAGAAGTAGGTCACTGACTCAATGTGCTAAATAATGGAATAGAGTTAATCCTAACTTTATAAAATTGGGAAAATTCTTAACCATTAGGAAATTCTAGTTTAAACATTTAATTACTTTTTTAAAAGAACGCCAAAATTTAGAAGTTTTCCAAATAGTTGCATAAGAGGGGAAAAAATGGGAAAAACATCCATTCTTTGCACTGAAATCCCACAAGAGAAAATCTATGCTAACATGTCACTCAAATAAAATTTATTATAGTTAACTGTTTGCACTAATTTTCTGAGTAACTTATTTTTCTATTTGTATTTGTATATGATTTGCATTTTTCAAAAATTATGTTTTTATAGCTTGTTATATTTTTATCATGTACACTAATGAAAATTTTCTATTAAATATTTTTTAAAAGTTTAGAAGTGCTTGAATATAAAATTCCAAAGAACACTTGCAGTACAAACTATGCTCCAGACACTATTTATGAATCAAAATGACAAATTTTATTCACATATTATATTGTAACATTTTTCTTCATTACAGTACCAATTTAGATTTTAAAGAATTAGCTAGGATGAACAAGAAGGAAATTTGAAGCCCCTTTTGTACTCATACTATCCCTGGTAAAAATGCAAAGTAGAGTAATCTGGCTGGTGAAAGGGTATATATATATAGATATATATATATAGATATATATATATATACACACACACACACAGACACACACACATATGTATATATATACATATATATATGTATATATACATATGTATATATATACATATATATACATATAAATATACATATATAATAAATATATACTTATATGTAAATGTATATATACAGATAACATATATACATGATACATATACACACATATATACATATGTGTATTATATATATATGTAGATTAAAATTTTAAAATAGTCTGTTGATTATGCACTGAATAAGATTTTTTTGGACACTTTGCTAGGAGAAAGAGAGGCACATTGTATGTTCTCTTATTTTGTAGCTAATAATGAAACCTTGGCATTACCTGCAGAATCTAAAACCCCAGAAATGGAAAAAATCACAGCACAGCACATAACAGGTAATTTGATCCTTATGTCGATGTTGAAAAAGAAACATCATATTTTTACAAACTGTGAATGGTCTACAAACTTTATTTTCAGTAAAGAGCCAATAGGAAATTCATTTTCATCATAAACACAAAGCAATAGAAGATTGTAGGTTTTTAATGTTTAGGAAAAGAACAGACAAAAACTGAACTATTAGATTACATCCCTGGTATGTAATTTGGAAGCTGTATTCTGCAGGCTCAGTGAAAGTTGTTACATCAACACTAAAGTAGTTTTACACCAAAATATAATACTAAGGTTTTGGCACAATATGTTTATTTTATTTGAAGACCTGATACCATTTTTTCTGCTTCCTCACATCTACTCAATTTGACAAAATGCCTTATATCCTTCACAAAATAGTTTCATAGGTATGGAATTACCCTGGAGTAATTTAGAAACAATGCTCTCTGGGAGATTAATAGCCCTAGTTAGAGAATATGTAGTGTTTCAGTAAAATATACTTTAAAGAATAAATACAGTAAGCATTTTCCCCATAGTTTTTCAGTGTTTCCAACATTTCTTCTCTCAGTGAAACTACCCATTCCAGTGCCCTAGAGAGGCATTAATCTCTGAGGCAGAGAGGTTTTGTCAGAGCTATGCTGCCTTATCCAGCATTTGAGAAAACAAACATCTGGCAAGAATTTCTCACAATTCACATTTAGCAAAGTGACTCCAATCTACACTGAATTTTTAAATCTATAAAATTGCTATAACCTGAGATACTAGTCATATTTTCTTTGTACTAAACTTTTGGACTTGTAACTGGTCCAGAGGATAGAAGATTGATGGAGTAATAAAATAACTTCAACAAACAGATTCAAGTACAATATTTCTGACTGAGCAAAGGAGGGTAGTCCTGCTTAAGGATGAGAAATGGACCTTCATTCCCACCTTCAGAGCACCATGGTGGAAGCTACTCATGCTGCCAAAATAATCCATTTGGATGAAATTTCTAGGTGGTTTTATGATTTCAATGTAATTTGTCAATACCAAGAAAAGCACAGGCATGACCTAATAGTTGACTCCAAGTCCTTTTCTGCCTCAAAGATTCTACCCATTTCTCCAAGATACATTTTCTTCTCTTGGCCCATTGTCTGATGAGAGTCTACAAATTTCTTAATTCTTTGCCAAACCCTCCTCAGAGTTTTCCACTTCAGAAATTCCTAGGCAATCACAACTTATTATTCAGTATTGTGTTTATGTCATACCTTTACCATGTAAAAATTCTAGGATTTTCCAGTACACAATTTAGTCCAGATCTCAGGTACTGTGGTTTGTATTTCTTTGAAGTTATTTACCTGAGGTTTTAATTGCCTTTCATCTAGAAGTTGTCACAAACTTGTGGCTGAGCACTTGAATGCTGATCAAAATTTTAAGCCCATTCCAAACTTTCAGGTAGAATGAATTCTGAGAAAGAAATCTGACAGTTATTACATTTAGTAAACCTTTTAGCCCTGATTTATTCTTTTATTTACCCATTCATTTGTTTAAAAACCTATTTCTCTGTATGTCTTTGCCCTAGGAATTAATCTAAGCCTTGGAGTTAAAGAAAAGGAAAGATAAAAACATATGATCTATTAAGTGTTTTAATGAATGTCAGTTTGGCATGCTTTTTGTGGATCACACAGAAAGTGGACCAAACCCAGAAAGGATGTATTGATGAGCAAAGTTAGCCCAGGCATCTGGGGCAAGCCGGGGAGTCCTCAACATTAGAAACTTGAGAAGAAATATCCTATGTAAATATCAGTTAGTAATTCTGAAGGCCAACAAATGATATCTCATGATCTTTAGTTGCGTCATCATCTTATCTTAATGTATAAAGTTATCTCTTTTTTACCTTTCAGTGACTCCTGAAACAGTTCCAAGAACCACTAAACCCACTATGTCTAGTACATTAGACGTTTCAGAAACAACACTGGGTAATTCTAAGAACTATCATTTTCTTAAAAATCAAAATGAAACAGCAATAAAGTAATCTCAAGACTTTGGTCTGCCTTTCCCTCTTCCCTCTTCCCTTCTTTCTGTCCTTTCTCCTCTCTCCCTGCCCCTTTCCTCTCTTCTCCTTTCTCCTTGTTCTCCCTATCTCCTTTTCTTTATTTCCTCTTGAGAAGAAGTAACTTTTCTATTATTTGGACCAATTACACTGAGAACACAGCAACTTCCCTGGATCTCAATGACTAACATTCCAGGCAGGAATGGATGCTAGATACTAACTGTTTGCCATTTTAATGTGTCTCTTGGTTCAGATGGCAGAATACCACCCTTTTCAACCTCCAAATCTTGGAGAGATGTGAGAAACATTTAAGTCTTGACTCTCTGGAATTTTTCCTTAAATTGGCTTTTGAAAGTCTTGTGAATGCTAAATGTGGAAAGAATCTCCCAAACAAACAAACTTCCTAACAAGAATTTCACTTTGTTACCTGCTGTTTCACCCAAGAGAAACTTGCTTTTCTCATTTTGGTCTCTTCCTCTGAAGAAAAAGAGCAGCATGTATTTTGTTCTGCACTTGTGATGGTGATCTTCTGAAAATACACTCTCAAATTTTATCAGCTGTGTAACTTTTCCAGGGAAAACCAATTATTTCCGTGAGAAGCACCAACTGCTCCCTGCACATGAATCCTGTTGTGAAGCATGCTATGCATGGTCATGGTTATGCCAAAAAAACCAAATCCTCAGGCAAGGAATTTCTAACCAGACTGTTTTTTTATTGCAGTTCTCACCCAAAGGGCCCCGGAAACATTGCAAACTATTCTATCACCTAAGTTTGAATTGCCACTGAGCACTCTAGGTAAGAATTATTAAACACTGCAGCATAATTTTTGCTATGGAATTTTTTTATTGAGTTTATTGGTACATTCTAGGTATACAATACAGTTATATTCATTACTGGGATCTTGTACGTTTACATGACAGGTCTTGGTTCTCATTTTTATCCCCTTGTCCCTGCCCTCCCTTCAATCCCTCCTCCCCTCCCCATTTACAAACATTTTATTTCCATTTTTTCATTTTCTCAAATTTTATGCATGCTTTTTGGAGGTGTTGTGGTAATTCATTCAAATTCATCTTCTCACTAGAAAAAGGAAATGTGGTTCATAGAACAAGGAGCTTCCAAGACCTTAAATGTGTTAAAGTGATCTTTATAATTTAGGATCCTAAAGAGTGCCTCCCTATGAAAAATCCACTTGTGGGTTGTGTTGGTGGAGGTCATATTTTTGTTTTATTCTTTTCATTCACAATAAGTATATCACTGAGCAAACTGATATTTTTCCTAAGTGTCTTTACTCAATTGTCTTTCTTGATAGATATTTCTGGAAACTCCTCTTTAGAATTTCTAAATTTCTTTGTTGGTACAATATCAAAAGGATGGGGATGTTTATATATAAAGTACTTATATATAAGTACATATATATATATATATATATATACATATATATACAAATTCTACTTTTAAAAGCTACTAGGTAGATATTTGCTACTTCAGTTATATTTGATGCTTAGCTTGAATTTAAATGAAATATACTTGAAAGGACACACAAATATAGCTGAAGAAATTGAGAGATTAGTTTAATAAGGATAGAAAGAAAAATAAATAATACCTTAAGCTTAGTAGCTTGATCTTAAAGTTGAATAAGAAAATTTATTTTATTATCCTGCACTGAAACACAGAAGAGATATTATTAAGATTCCTTATTTGATATGAAATAATTACTCTTTTGTGTTTTTGCAAACTTGATATTTTTAAAGTAATTTTCCTGTTACTTGCACCTGAGGTCATAACCATCCTTTTGTATTTGATTATAGCTCCAAAAAGGTTTCCAGAATTTCCTGAAGCAAAAACATCCTTCCCTTTTGAGAAGCCTGGGGTTACCATGGGTAATAAAAGTACTTTATATATGATGTTAAGAATAGAGGTGGTGGGATTGGAATGTAGTTCAATAATAAATCCTTGCCAAGCATGGGTGGGGCACTGAGTCTCATTCCTACCATGTGGGTGGTAATTGTTTAATTCTGAAGGATACATTTACTGAGTCTTTAAAACTTTAGTGAACTAATAAAATCACTTAACTCAGGCAAACAAGTAGTTGACTTAGTTTTTTAAAAGAAAGAAGTTGTGTATGATTGGATTTTTTCCATAAATTCAGTAAAAATCATCAGTCTATGAATCACACATAATCCAGTTGACTAGTTTTCTGCCCTTAAAATGTTGAGAGCATGACATCAATCTCTGGTTTCACCCTTTTCACTAGTCAGAAGTTCTCTGCTGGTACATATTGATTTTTTCTCAGACCTTGATTACTTTTGATAGTATCCATCTGAGCTTTTTATTTTAGTCTTCTGATAGCCCCTTAAACCATAACAGCAAGATACTTCTGTCCTTTTCCCCTCTTAAAACAAATATTCAGAAAATTCTTTTTTCCCCCCAATATAGTAACACAGGAAAAGTCATGGATGGCACCTACAGCTAAAACATCAGAAGATTCCAAAGTTGTAAAGCCTCAAACTGGTAATTATATTTTTTTTAAGATTGTAAGAAGAATATTAAAGTTTCTTTTTTTATTTTTATAGGTTCCTTGACTGATTATCAATATACTCTGTGGCAAATTGAAAAACCTTGATGGCTTAGCTGAGCCTTATTTTTCCATTTGTTTTTGCATTTGTTTTAAAGATGTATTTTACCTCCTTAATATATTCTTGGTAGTATGGCTAAAATAAACTATGAATTGGTTTGCTTGTTTCCTAGAGATTATTTAGTGATATGAGAGCAATAACACAATAAGAAGTACCATTTTGGTTTTGATTTAATGCTTACTATACATTTAGTGTTTGAGAGTCAATGGGAGAAGGCCACAGCCAACCTGTGGGTGCCAGGCTACCTCCTGGATGCCAGGGGCTGCTCTTATCTGGATCAACCCTTAAATATGATTATCATTGTAAATTTATTTTTCTTTGACATTTTCTGGATTTGTTTACCATGTCATATTCTGTATGAAAAAAATCAGAATGGGTGCCCTCAAAAAGATTTTTGTACTAACTTTTTATATAAAAGACTTTTTGAAAATTCTAACTTACATACTGATTATTGAAATCCCTGGGTCATTTCAATCATTTTTGGCAATAGAAGAATAGGATTTTTGAAGGTAGCAATATCTCAAGAAAACTGAGATGCATACTCATCAGATATATTCTCCCCTTCTTTCAGTGTGCTTGCCTTACTCTTTCTTCTTTCTGTTTTGCAATGTCATTATTTAGAATTGCATTTTGTATAAACGTTCCATAAAGTATGTTTAAGTAGGGTTGATTGCTTTTGATTTCCTTGGCAAATCTAATTTTCCATAAAGTATATAAAGGCAATCATTAAAGTGTGCTTTATTCCTACATACCAGAATGTAAAATTATTCATAAATTTTTATTTAAAAGGATGTTAGCCAGATTTTAGAAATACTTAAGTGCTTGTGACAGCTATTCAACAAAAGTCCATCTTTCTGATGATGCAATAAAGCTGGTTCTATTGGAAAGTGGCCAGTTCACTACAATACTAGTTTTTTTAATAGAAGTTCTAGAAAAACTCTTAATACCTTCTATCCCCCGATGAATTGTCCATATGTTGGATCATCTCCCCACTGAAATAATATATTTTATATTTGTATGACAGTTTTCTTCTGAGAGATTCAAAGAGTTATGAATACCTCATCGTATTGATCCTTTCAAAGTTATTTTTCTTTTAATGAGATAAAAAGCTTACATCTGAATAGATGAAGGGACAGAGGTTAGACTCATTCATTTCTTTTCTAATCTTCTTTGCAATAATACATTCCAAGTTAACAGTAAAACAATGCCATATATCTTGCTTTGGAATTTTGAGAACAGCTTTCACAACAGAGAGAATTAAATGTTCTTATTGGGACTTACAGGTAGATAAGAAACAAATGCTCTTTAAGAAGTCAACAAGTCCTTGAAATTTATTCTTATTATGGACTTGATTGTTTACCTGTAAGCTATAGAGAGAGGCAGAGCTATGTTAATAACTAATTATCAGAACTTCAGTTTATCCATCTATAAAATGAAATAATGTATAAATTTTTCATCAGGTTATATATTATAAATTATATAGAAATCATTTAATATAATGCATAGCACACAAGGGTGCCCCAGTAATATTTCCTTAGTAGCTCTGACTCTTTCATTGACTGCAGCTTCCTCCCATCATATTGCTCATCCATATGTACTGCTCCTTAGGAAAATCTTTTGCCTATGTTCCTTCCAAATTATCCAGAAAAACTGAATTTTTCTTCCAATTTACCAAGGCTTATTAGTAAAACTACCTCTTTCTTGAGTAAAATTATTTTTCCTTCCAGCATAAATAGATATCTGTCGAAGACTTTCCTTGACAGAGTCAGACTGGTGGATGGTCAGTCTCAGTCTTTTCATTAAAATCTACTTTGGGAACTTCTTTAGGATGTAAGCTCTAATTATTTTCAGTGTTAAATTATTTTAGTACTTTGTAAAACTTTTACTAACTTGCAATATGTACTTAAGATGCATTAATGAAAGGTTTAAAAGCTGACATGATCAGCATGGGATAATATATTAGAAAGGTTTGGCCACAGGTGATTTGTTCAGAGCAGTTGAAAAGAGGCAAACTATATTTGGACCTTACTGCCTACCCTGTGAGGTGTTGATTACCCCAGGTCTGGCCCACCCAACTAGATTACTCCCTAAAGAGGAAAATGAGTAGGAATGAGTACTGGTGTTGAAGTTTTGAGAGCAGGAAGATAGCGTTCAGGCATAACAAATGGTTTACAGATTTTCCATATTCTCTTAAAAGGTTTGTGGCATTAGCCTTTGATTTCTTACAAACATTGTTCTCTCAAATTTCGGGGCAAAACAGAAAGATATTCTGTTTTCCCATCAACAGAAGAAAGCATTATATATGTATTTAAATAGTTCTGAGAATTATGCTTGGCAGTATGTCTTTCTCTTTTAGTTACTTATAATGTTTTTATATTACTTCTTCATGTTTTTAGAATCCTATTTCTATGGCAGAGTATACACCTACAGCAACTATTTGTGTAATAGAAGAAGATGTTTGGATGCACATATAATACTTTGTGTATTATAAAATATCAAAGGACATATTAATTCCCCAAACAAGTCATTTATCTTTTCAAAGAACTTAAGCTGTCCATTTGTCAGTTTCTCTTAATTTGCTTATGGTAATGAACTTTTTGCAAATTAACTGCTAAGGATCTACCAGATACCATGCTCTAGAATAAATAAAACATTGAGTTCATGGTAAACATGACAGAGTGTCTGCCTTAAAGAGATAATTTGTTTAAGAAATTATATTGGAAAGGGAAAATATTTCATAATTATTTATATTTTGGGAATTTTAATAAAATAAAATTATAAATTCTCAATTTTCTGAAATACTTTATAAGCCATCACATGCTTCCTGGGCAACATCAGGGTATTTTCATTGTGGGATTTGAACCTAATTAGTTTTCAAAGTAAAAACATACAGCTAACAAAACATAATTAATAAATATGATTTTATTAAGTTATAGAGCAAATAGCAGTACGGCTTCTTTTATCATTTTTTTTTCTGAAAAATCTGAAAGTAAAGTCTTGTGATTTTAAATAATTTTTTGGTTTGGTTTTTTTGTTTTTTTGTTTTTTTTGTTTTTGGTACCAGGGATTGAACGCGGGTCCTTGCACTTACAAGGCAGGCCACTGAACCACTGAGCTAAATCCCCGGCCAATAATTTTTGTTTTTTAAAAGAAATTAATATTGCTTTTTATAACATTTGAATTGAACTACCCATTTTACCTGTTGCATTTGGTCCTATGATCTGTGAACTCTTGAATATTTACCAAGTATATGACTAGAAGTAGTCTTTTAGAAACCAGGCCTAACCATTTCATGAATTTTACTCTTGAATGGGTATGCATATACTGTGTTTTGTAAGGAAATCAAAAGCTGTTGATTTTTTAATAATGTTTCAGAGAGTTCCATTTCAAAACTACCCTTTCCTCTGACAACTATAATTTTTTTTTCTCTTTGAGTTTGTTGGTAGATTTTAGGTATATGGTGCAGTTACATTCATCATTGGGATCTTGTACCTTCACATGACAGGTCTTGGTTCTCATTTTTTCCCCTTCCCCTTCCTTTCTCTTCACCCCCTCCTCCCTTCCCTATTTTAAAATACTTTATTTCCATTTTTTCATTTCCTCATTTTTTTTCTTTTCCCTTATTTCCTTTCCCCTACCAGTCCCACTTCCCCTACACCTTTAGCCCTTTTCTTCCTATTTCACATTGTCAGTTATACTATTAGGATCTTATGTACCATTGTAGTTTTTCACACCAGAGAAATTATTCGGTATTTATACATGTGTGACTTATTTATTTTACTTATTTTACATACTCAATATGTATCCATTTTCCTATGAATGACTCTAATTTCTCATTCTTTATGGGTGAGTAGTATTCCATTTTATAGAAAAACCACATCGTCTTTATCCAGTCTCTAACTGATGGGCAAAGTTTTAGCTATTACAAACCGTGCCACTATAAACTTAGGTGCACATATATCACTGTGATATGATTCTTTTAATTCTTTTGGAAAGATACCCAGCAGAAGGATTGCTGGGTCAAATGGAACCTCTAATCCCTAGCTCTTTGAGGTATCTCCATATTGATTTCCATAGTGGATACACCAGTCTGCACTCTCACCAACAATGCAGAAAGGTTCCTTTCTCCTCACAACTGCGCCAACATTTGTTATTGGTTGATTTCTTGATAGCAGCCATTCTTTGTGGGGTGAGGTAGAATCTCAGTGTTGTTTTCATCTCCATCTCTCAAATGACCAGTGATGTGGAACATATTTTTATATATTTACCTGCTGTTTTTACTTCTTTGTCTGAGAGATGTCTGTTCATTTCGGATGCTCATTTTTGAATAGGGTCTTTATATTTCGGGGGGGCTGATTGTTTTGAGTTCTTTATATATTCTAAGTAAGAGTCCTTTGTCTGAGGAGCAGCTGGTAAATTTTTTTTCCCAAATTGTAAGTTGTCTTTTAATTCTGTTAATGGTTTCTTTTGCAGTGCAGAAGCTTTTTAATAAGATGAGATCCCAGTTGTTGATTCTTTCTCCTAGTTCCCCTGCTACTGAGGATTTGTTCATAAAGTCTTTTCCTTTGCCAATTTCTTCCAGAGTTCTGCCTAACTTATCTTCCAGAAAGTTTAGTGTTTCTGTTTTAATATTTAGATCTTTAATTCACTTGGATTTTAGTTTAGTGCCTGGTGAAAGATAAGGGTCTAGTTTTAATCTTTGGCAGGTTGAAATCCAGTTTTTCCAACACCATTTATTTAAAGAGGCTATCTTCACTCCACTGATGGTGGTTGGCTCCTTTGACAAGTACAACTTTGAAGTCAAAGATTGTGCTTAACTCACAAATAAGGTGAGGCAGTATGCTTCTCAAAAACTGTCCGAACAATATCAAACTGGGCGAGTGGTGTTTGTGTGTTATTAGCATTCTTTTTATATTTACCACTCAATTTTCAGGAACTATTGAAATGGAATCATTAAGGACTAAATCTGATGACAGATGTGTTATTTGACTCTTAAGTATGTTTGTAAGCAAGAGTTCCTGACAAGTGTAAGCTTCCAGATATGAACTATAACTGCTGAAGGAGGGCTTCTTTCAGAAAATAATTTGAGAGAAATTAGAAGCCTTTCTTAGACCCTCCAGAATAGAAGGGAATTATAGAAAATAAATAGAAAGACTGAATGAATATTAACTTTTGGAGAAAAACTATAGACTGTAAGAAAATTGGTTCAGTGTCACTAGATTGAAGGTAGAGTTAGGATAACAAAGAGTGTCATGGCATTTTAAAAAGCAATAGCATAAATAAAAAGTCAAGTTAATTATAATTTCTTAGCTAGTATTAGAGTGTTAAGTGCAAGTTGATAAAGTTTCCCTAATTTCTTTAGTAACAGATAGATCTGGAATTGCTAGATCCATGATGTAAATCTGACATAAATAAAGACTAATATCAGAAACTGAAGCTGTTTTGTCTTTGAAAGATCCATCATTCCTACCTGACCCTTTAAAATTGTAGCTAGGCTAACTTTACATCACTTTAACTACATTGCAATATAATATGTGCATTCATAAAATATATGCCTATTTTAACTCAAATATTCTGTTTGTAAAGACAGTAATTTTGTCACCCTCACAAATTGAAGTGTGTTTCTGCCTCATCAGTATGTTGTACATCAAGCTGTTTTCTACTTTCAGATCCTGTCAGACCATCTAATATTACCTTTCTTAAAGCTTCAACTATCGGTGGTTTCAGGTCATTAAATTGTCATCAAATTACAAGTAACCCCAAGAGTAATTCTTCCTTTGAGCTCCTTCCTTTTTATTTCTGCACAGCCAGTCTGAATGGGCAAGGAAAACAATGTCGACCTCCCAAAAGGTCCTATGTTCTCTACCTCTATTTACCACAGTGGCAGCTCATTAATTGTACTTTTAAAAAATTGTAATGCTGTTTTTGCTTCCAGGTTAAATGTTTATGTGAATATTCCTGCATTAAAATAATTCAATCAAGTTTTAATTTATCCCACTTTGTGCATTTCCCATAGAATATATACTTGATCTTTAAATGCACCTAGATTTTGGAAGAACTCACAGCTCCATGGAGGAACAGAAAGAAAACACACTCTAAATAAAATGATTCGAGGAATAACAAAAATGACAGTCTCCAAAACAGAGTCCTGGTCTTAGCCCTGCTGTTCCTGGTCCTGCTGTCTGAGTGGAAAATGCACTGAGCTTGACAATTGTAGCATGTGTATGCTGGCAAATTTCTCCGCTGCTATAAACCTCAAATTTATTATCTAGAAAATAGACATAATGTACCATAATCTCTAAAGTAAGGGAAATGCCTACCTTTCAGAGATATTAACAAAGTTAAGTATGACAACATGCTGTCACCAGCAAGATGTTGAGAGGGTAAGAGGGTAGTTTTTACCAAGCAAAAAGACTAAGCAGCAGACTTTGTGCAAATAGCCTGAGTCTGATTGCTGTTGCTTTAGAAATCTCTCCCCAAGCTGTCTTCTGACTTTATGTTTATACTCACTGAAGCACTTTGAATTAGAGCTGGCATCACTTCAGTATAAATATATAGCACTATGCTCACATTACCTTGAATGCCAGTGCCAACACTTGCTATATAAAATCCTGCAACTGAGAACAAGAAAGCCAAAAGCTAATGCCATAGTGGTGTTTGCTAAACAGTAAATAGTAGTGACAAGGCCAGCAGCCAAAAGCCCAAACATACTGATGCCTAAGTGAAACTGTCCTTTAGTCAGCATCAGAATATGCCATGAAATCTTTCAAAATTAATCAAAATTAACATCTTGTTCTTTACTTATACTTTTAAGCAACTTATGATGTTTTCTCAAGCCCTTCAACTTTTGATGAGTCTGATATATCAGAGCCTCATACAGATATATCCAGCCTTTCAATTAAGTTTCTGGATCCAGGTTTCCCAATATACCTGGTGTTTACCCCTTTTAGTTTCAGCAAAATATGCTGTTTAGAGCTTCATAGGGAGCAATAGTCATGTGTGTCAGGGAAATAAATTCTATTCATACCTCCCATTGAATAATTATTTCATTAATCAATAAATAAGCTCTGTCACATGAGGGACATGCAGACCGATTGGATTGTCACTGGGGGAAAGTAATATAATGTCCTGTCACTCTTTTGTTTATAACAATTCTTAAAAATTTTAGAGCCATAGAGGGTTTTCTATAAATCAGTGGGTATTAAACAGGGATATTTTGAAACCTTTCTCCCCAACCAGGAACATTTGGCAATGTCTACAGACACATCTGGTTGTCATAACTTGAGGAAGGTACCATTGATGTTGCCAAACCCCTGCAATGGACAAGGCAGTTTCCCCCATCAAAGAATTATTCAGTCCTAATTGTCAATCACGCTCAGATAAGAAATCTTGTTTAAGAACATCGTGTCATTATTTGTCTGTCATTGTCATTCATTTATAAACGCAGTTACAGTAAGTTTGACTTAATCCAGCATTTTCTTTTAGCAAGTGTTTCTTAAACACTTATAAACTAGATATTTATAAACTAGGAGTTTCAATGTAAGATTGATTTCTGACAAATGTAAATATGTGTCTGATTTTTATATGCATAACATTATTTCAGTGTTATTTGTATTATGATAAATAAAAGTAGATAATTTTAAACAGGAGAGGATAAGAAAAAAATTAAACGAGATGCTCATAATGGGTTAAGGTAATTAAGAAAAAGAAAGGGGGAAAAACTAGGAAAACCAGATTTTAAAAAGTTGGATGTATGAAACACTACCTTATCATAGTTTCTGTATTTAAAGTATGCATGTTTTTAAAAGTGAGCTCACCTTAAACTCCTAATGAATCACTGGTTTAAAGACATTGGTCAGCAATCCTCCAAGTGCTCTTGATGTTTTTCCTCACACAAGGCATAATTACTCATGCATTTGTGTTTTATTCCTGGGGCCTTTTACTTGTTTAATAAACGTTGCCATTTATTCCAACAGCAACAAGTGATCCTATTCTGGATTCTGTCCCACCTAAAACTTCTAGAACTCTTGAACAGCCAAGAGCAACACTGGGTAATGTTTATAACAGAAAAATGGTGCTTTGTTTTCCATCAAACAAAAATCCATAATCCATGTGACTGATTTTCTTGATTGACCATTTCATTCCATCACATCTAATCATTTATATGTTTTCTGTTTCTGAGTATACATATGTATGAATTTAATGCAGGCCTCTTTTATATTCCATTGTGTGCATGAGTTTGTGTATGCACGTGTTCCTCTCTCATTGAACTGTAATAGATGGCATTTTCTTCTCCCTAAACTTGTGAGAAGCTTTTATAACTGCATGAACATCTTCATCATTCACACCATCTCATCTCATGTATATGTGGTCTTTATTACTTCACTGCCATGTGTCTAGTCTGCCTGGAGTTGGCTACTGAACAACAACCATAGCTTTTTATCCACTTTAATTCATCTACCAGCTTTCAAGGCAACATTTTTTTCACCCTTAATCATGTACTTGTAGAATATGCATTGTATCATCTAAAAGCATGTTAAAATTCTTAAAGTATCTCATTTTACCTGGTATTATCTGGTGAGATGGAGTCTTTGTGCTTTCAGCTCCAAGTGAAACACCATTTATTCCTCAAAAAGTGGAAACTTTTACCAGTCCTGCAATGAAACCTACAACATCTGGTAACTAATGACATTTGTATAGTTTTGTGCTTTAAAGAACAGGTAAAGTGACAAAAACAGTTAGTCAAGTTGTCTTTTTCAGAGTATTTTTAGTATTAAACATTTCCCCTCTAACTCTACCATGGAATTCTTCAAAGAACTAAGCTACCTAGTATACTTAGCCATAAGATAATCATTAAAGAATTTCTATAATCTTGATGTCTATGTTTCATGAAGTCTATATATCTTGAAGAATAATTCCTTTCTATATTTCTTTCAACTTTGTCAACCGTAAAATAGCAGAATTATAATTTATATTTATTCTGAACCCCTTTGGTTTAGGTATGACTTGATCAGTTTTTCACCCAGAGTAGTCTAAATTTCACCAAATAATCTCAGCAATCCTGAGCATGATAACAAATGATTTATAAAAGAGAGGTAACACAATCCATATTGTATAGCAGAAAATTATTTGAAGAATAGAGTTCATTAAATTCTGAACTTTCCAAAATATCTGTTTGTGTTGTGCCTCTGCTACTTAATGTTATCCTTTTGAGTTCTTCACTGCAACTTGTGCGAAATACTTCAAGGGTGCTCATATTTTAGTAAGTTTGGTTGAACAATGTCTCTTCAAGTCTCATATAGAAACTGAATTTCTTTTGACTCAGTCAACAGTTATTTTTTTTTTACTATGTATAAAGCACAATGTTTGAAATTATGGGGGGAAAAGAAAAAGAAAATAGTTTTTGCTCTCAAGAAGTTTGTAAGTTTACAGGCACAGTCTGATTGGCTCCTGAAAATGTCATCTATCAAAGTTATACTAAATCTTCTTCTTTCAGCTCCCCAGCAAACTACGTCTGTCCCCTCTCCACCTAAACGGCGCCTCAGACCCAAAATTCCAAGAACCACACTTGGTAAATACATGTCTCTTTAATTTTTATTTTATTTTATTTTTTGGTACCGGGGATTGAACTCGGGTCCTTGCTCTTGCAAGGCAGGCCACCGAATCGCTGAGCTAAATCCCCAGCCCATCTCTTTAATTTTTTTAGGATATTTATTTCCAGATAGATCATGTGCATCTTATTGTAAAAAATAAGGTACATGATTCTATAGAATGTTTTGAAAAAATTAAGTAATAATTAGGTAATACAAAATAAAATCAAATGTCAATAAGATTTTACTGAAAATCATCTTATATTTTTACATATAAATTGGTCAATAAGTTTAGAAGCAAGTCTTGCTACCAGAGAATTTTAGAGTGAGATATATAACGTTGCTTTTTTGGTGTGCATCTAAGTTTAAGTGTTTGATACACTGATGGTTCTTATTTTTTGAAGCCTACTATGTTTTCAGTTTTATGCTAGGGAAATGGCTAAGATGGGGAGGATCTGACTCCAGCTTTCATGTTATTTGTAATCTTTAGAAGATGAGACATAACAATATGACTACAACATAATACTGTAAAACTTTAGAATCTATAATATTGTGTAGACCCTCCAAGAAAGAAAGAGTTGACAATACAGGCCTGAAAATATACATAGGATTTGTATGGAGGAAAAGGAGAGGACAACAACATAAGTCAGTGATTTGGTAGCTCACATAGTGTATCAATGAGGAGGTAATATTCTTTATTGTCAAATAATATACTCAGAATCATGCTTGACAAACTGGGTTTGGCTTATTCCATTTATATTTGTAATTTAAATGCAATTTTATATGACCTGTGCTGTTATGTTAACTTAAAATTATTTTCCAAAATTTTTGCTCAGATTATGATGGGCAAGACTTTCAAAGGGTTGTTCTATTCTTTGTTGGGGAATGTTTTTATTATCCCTAAAATAACAGTTTTTTCTTTCATCAGAAAAGAACCATAAGTCCTGGGACAATTATATCTAAACTTTCTAAAAGTCCTGAGCATACATAACTAATGCTGCATGATAATGATTTCTCCTTGTAGGGTGTTATTTCGTCTTACCATGGAAAATTTAGCATCCCAGCTTTTTCATAATGTCTCAGTACTGATTCTAAGTGGCTCATATGGATAGTTCTGAGTCTCATAATACACCAATTCCATCTCATTAATGGATCAGGGCACAGTATTCAGATATAGTTCTATGCCAGCATTTGGACCACTGATGCTTCCTTGTCTTCTACCCAATCATTCTATTTAAACCTGGGTCATTGTCAGTATCTCCACTTTTTAAGTAAGGTCCTCAAGTTCAACTTTAGACTTTATTTGGAAAAATGACTTTTCATTTTGGTGTTAATGAGATATTTTTGAGGTTTAAACCATAGCATTATATCCATCTTGAATATTAATTTTAAAAGACATTTCCCTACCTGATGCTTGAAGGCTTAGATGTAGCTGAGAAATATGGAGTAAGAGTGCAAAATAACTAAAGTGGCTTTTTAAAATTGTGGATTAAAATTTCTGTATTTACTTTGAGTAGTTACTGTGACTATTTAGATTTGTTAGGGTTATTTAACCCTATTAGGTTAAATATACTCTTGAAATGTTTTCTTCAGACCAGATGAAAACTTATCAGTGTATTTTCTTTAAATGTTTCTCTATGAATGGAACAGATGATATTCTTTTAATGAATACTTAACATAGTTTAGTTTTAGGTTTTCCTCCAAATACTGATTGACTATTTTGTTCCCCACACCCTTCTCTTTCTAACTGTCAGTAGAACATAGTTTAAACATAGTTTATTTCTTTGAAATCTAAAATCCCTTTAACCCCAGAAATGACATACACTGCACGTAGTAGTTACCTTGAATTTTTTTTCTTATATTCTAAAAGAAGAGTTGAAAAAGTATGTTTTGCAAGTCTTTGGAGCAAGAACTTCTCATTTGTATGCTAGTATTTGATAGATTTTCTCGTGGAAAGTACAGAAAAGCACTGAAATGATCTCATCGTAACTAGCCCCTTTGATATTATCACAGCATTGCTGTGAGCTGTGTGGTGAATCATTAGGTTCATGACCATCACAGAGAAAGCACAGAAATGCAGCAATGTGAGTGATTGAGGACCCCCTTGTCTAAAACTAAAATAGTTTCCACTACCAAAATTGACTGGAATTCTGATGGCACTGAATAGCAGCCTTTTAGCCAAAATGGGGAGAAGTACTTTTGTCCTGTAAGATTTCTGTCTTGTTGTGGGGGAGCTTCTCAGTTAGCAAACTGCAAGACCAAAAAATGCTCCAAACTTCCTAATTGGGGCTGATTTCTGAACAGCGGCTTGTTTACCTATCAGGAGACTTTAATGGTGTTTTGCTGAACGAAAGAGGGCTCTTTTGCCAAAAAGAATTTCTTCCTGTATTTAACTAAAAACTGAAACTTTTCTACATAAGGATTGTAGAAAATATTGAATGACCAAATCTCCCCCCTCCTTTTTTATGACTCCAGGACTTAACACAGTGGTCTTAGATGTTCACTGGTTTTGTCACAACTCATTGTGATTTGTCATCTAAATGTTAAACCCTTAGCTCTGGGAAGAATATATTTTTCATTATAATGCTTAATGGATTCTGAACTTGCCTTTCCATTAAGTGCATGTTGGGCCGGGGATTTAGCTCAGTAGTTTGGTGGCCTGCCTTGCAAGTGCAAGGACCCAAGTTCAATCCCCAGTACAAAAAGAAAAAAAAAATCCATTAAGAGCATGTTTACAAAATGGGATTATTAAAGAAAATAATTTTTCTGCTTAATTAGGCATGATTTAGTTTTGCATTAAAGTGGGTAAAGAAGAAAAATATAAATACTCAGAAAGATAATTTTCATAATTCCTTTTAAAAGGGCAACCTGATGGGCAAGTATAGATAGGGTCAGACTGCAGAAAATTAGGAATTGGGCAAAAGGAGACCACAGTAAGGTCTCCAAGTCAGAGCAATGAAGTGAAAACTCCCATTTACAGAGTGTACTTGAACAAAAAAGCATAATTCATAAAACCCAATGTCCTAGTAGTTTAAATCAAAGAATTCTGATAGCTGTATATGAAAAGAATTTGATATACCCTATTTAAAAATCATTTTAGGGGCCGGTTATTTAGCTTAGTGGTGCCACTGCCTGCCTCACAAGCGCAAGGACCCGAGTTCAATCCCTGGTACCAAAAAAAAAAAAAATCATTTTGGAAGGCTTTTCAATAAAGTAATAAATATTATTTTTATATATTTAGGCTGAATTTTGAATAGAGGACTATACTGAGTATTTTCAAGAAAGAGATTGTATGTTTGATTTACCAATTTTAAATGACAGTTTTTCTAATAGAATTATTTCTGTTAATACAAAATAAAATTAGGAAACATAAAAATTCTCTAAATGCTGTTTATAGTTCATACTATATATGCATAGTATTATTAATTTCAGTGGTTTCTAAGATTTCTGAAAGGAAATTCATTCACTAATACAAATAAGGGTGGGAGAATATGTTCTTAATCACTCTAAGATATTTGAATACAGAAACTTCTTGACTTTTCCTTTTAAAATGGAAATATTTATTTGGAAGCCAGTGTGTTTATGTTCCTCTGATTTCTAAATGTTCTAATCTAAGAATACTTTGCCCTTTTCTCTAACAGAGAGCATAATCACTTCAGACTCCATACCTGAATGTACCACTCAAGGTGACCTTGAGTGGTCCAAGGCAACACAGTCCTACTGGATCTCTGTAAACCATTGCTTGGGTTGTAGCCTCTTAAATGTTATTTTGCTTTATTTTAGGTCAGACTCCTTTTGTAGCTCCGTGGAAGGTTTCTGGCCAACAACCACCAAAAGCTTTTTGATTTGAAAAATGCACTGCCTTTCCCAGTCCTCTCCTCACACTTATTTTTCCATTTCACATTCCATTCCAGTTGCTTTTCTTTAGGCTTTCTTGATGGTTAATTCAGAGCATGAAAAACTCACATTGGTTTGGGCATGTTTTATAAATAAAGCCCTGTACATTTTCCAGAAAACACAGCCACCCATTGTGCCCTAAATTAACTACTTCATACTACAAGAAGTGCTGCCTTCATAGATTAATCTTTGAGGTGGTAATGACATTGGGTTCTTCACATTTTTAATGGACTAAAAATAAAGAGTTTCCCAATTTCAGCTGCATGTTTTACATAGTTCTCTTACCTGGTGGATGGGATTGCAAATTGATTTCACACTAGCCACACATCAAAGAGTAGGTTGCATTTGTTTTATGCTGAAGTAGTGGCTTAATCATTATAGATGACTCAGCTTTGTTATGCATAATTTTATAACTTTATTCCTAATATGTTGAGACTATGTATTGAAACAAGTATTGTTATGATATCTACTTATTCTTTGAAGTTCCAGAAACTTGATCAGAAACTTAAAAGATGCTACAAGTACCAACTTTTGCTTACTTTTCCCACTTTTAGATGGGATTTTTATAAAAATGAAAAATTCAAAGTTTTAAAAGAATATTTGTTTGCTATTTTCAGATGTGAATGCTTTCTTGATATTTATTTCATGCACTGATGTTTATCCCCCCTTTTCCTATAGAATAAGAGACATCCACACTCTCATTCATTTTTCTTCTCCCTCCGTCATATACATAAATACTCACACACAGAGTCTACTTTAATCTGATATATCACTATACTTTGCCATCCTCTTATTATCTATTTCTGGATAAGTTCTTAAGAAATCACAATTATGTGTACACAGAACTGTATTCTGCTTACACTTGATCTTAGCCAAAAGGCCATGAAGCGACAGAACTGTATTCTGTTTAAACTGCGGCCTTTTAGCCTTGTTCTTTCATATCTTACTCTTGTTATGAAGTCGCTATGTCAAAACTATTGTTGCTATAGTTTCTCTTTAAATCTATACTTGTGTCTTACAAACATGCTACTTTACCTACTCCAGAAATATCAGAGATAACTCCTGATAAAAATACTATCTGAAATGTGTAAGTCATAGAATGATTTAAGTTCTTTTAAGAAGGTCAGTAAATGGCATAGTAATTTCTTTCTGTAAGAAAAATGGAAAAAAATTAATTTTTTGCTATTTCAAAAGGAAAATTCTTTCTGAATTTTCTACTTGAAAGACAATAATTCATTTTATTCTGTAGCATAATAACAAAACAATTGGGATAAACCCATTCTTTTCAAAAATCAAATATCTATTAAAAGCAAACCACATTTTATTCCACATAAAGTATAATTTACTTACTAGTTCAAATGAAAACTGGAGAGTTTATCTATCTGAATATTTGAATAATATTTTTATTCAACTTATTCAACATTTCCTAACATCTGAGATGGCTTTTGGGCACTTATCGTTTTACTAACCAAAATGAATTAAATTTTATATATAAATCTACTTGTTAATCAGCAGTAGATATACAACATGGAGTAAAACAGAAATACTTATGGCCCCTTTGTTGATAAATTTAATTCCTTTCAGGGTGTGCGTGGCATGTGTGCATGTGCGTGTGTCTGAAAGAATGTCAGGTCCAGCTGGTGGGAGATTGTTCAAAACTAACACAGTGTAGCCATTGGAGCAAAAGCCTGGTTGTGGTGCTGCTTCTTCTACTTCTTTGGGTGACTGGCTCCCCTGTAAGAAGCAAAATGACAGGTGATGGGAAATTCAAAACACCCTCAGAGAGACGCCCTTTAAATTAGCATTTTTTTTTTCAGGCACTACATAGAGCTATTAGAACATTGGGTAGCGAGGGCCATAACTAAAGATCAAGGACAAAAATGAGAAGTCTCAATTCTTTTATTGTGTTTCATGGAAAGGATGTGGCATGAGTGAGTGTCACTGTATAAGCCAGAAGAATGTGATCATTCACCAAGGAGGGAACACTCTTTGTGGTAAAGAAGAGCTAATTTTGCCGGGCATGGTGGAGCACACCTATAATCCCCGAACTCAGGAAGCTGAGGCAGGAGGGTTGCTGTGAGTTTGAGACCAGCCTGGGCTACATAGTGAGTTCCAGGTCAGTCTCAACTACATAGTGAGACCCTGACTCAAAAAAAAAAAAAAA